ACATTGTATACGTAGAAAAGCCTAGAGCAGCTACAAAAAGAGATACTAGAAGTGGTAAGTTTAGCAAGATCTCAGGATACAAGATCAATATTTAAAAAGTAATTGTATTTCTATATATTAACAAACCATTGGAAATTGAAATTAAAAGTATCATTTACAATACCATAAAAAAGTAAAATAATTTTAACAAAATATGTGTAAGAACTCTACATGGAGAACTACAAAATACTGAGTGAAACTAAATAAGACCTAAAGAAAATGAAGACACAGTCCATGTTCATGGATTGGTAGACTCAATACTGTTAAGATATCAATTGTCCCCAAGTCTATCTATAGATTTAATGCTATCTCAATATAAAAAAAAAGATTCCAGCAGCCTTTTTTGGGTACAAATGGAAAAGCTGATTCCAGGAGTTATTTAGAAATCCAAATAACTTAGAATAGCCAAAATAGTTTTGACATAGGTGAGCAAAATTAGAGAACTTATACTACTTGATTTCAAGATTTACTCTAAGCTACAAAAATCAAGACAGTGTGGTGTTGGAATAAGTATAGACATAAATCCATGGAACAGAGTAGAGAGTACAGAAATAAGCCCATAGATAATATAGTGAATTGATTTTATACAGAGGTATGGACATAAAGGGATAGTTTCTTTAGCAAATGGTGCTGGAAAAAATCGTGTATCCATATGCAAAATGTGACCCTCGACCTTTAATTTGTACCATACATGAAAGTTAACTGAAAAAAAAAAAGACTCAAAGGCCTAAATATAAGAGCTAAAACTATAAAGTTTCTAGAAACGAATATAGGGGAAAAAAAATTTGTGACCTTAAGTTATACAAAGATTTTGTAGATGGGAGACAAAAAATATGAACCGTAAAAAAAAATGGATAAACTGATTCAACAAAATTAAAACTTCTGCTGTTTAAAAGATGATTAAAATGAAAAGACAAGCCACAGGTTGAGAGAAAATTTTACATAACGGAAGTGTAAACAGCATAAAGGATTCTCACAAGTTAAGGTAACTGATTAAAAACTGGCAAAAAGACTTAGACACTTGTGAAAGAGTATTATAAATGGCACATAAGCATAAAAAGGCGCTCAACATCCTAAGTAACTAGAGAAATGCAAATTAAAACCACCTATTAGAATGACTAACACGATCATATCAAGTGTTGGTGAAGATTTGGCACAACTGGAGCTCATATACACTGTTAGGAATGTAAAATGGTAGAACCACGTCAGGAAAAATTTGGAGGTTTCTTACGAAGTTCAACTTATGCTTACATAGGACTCAGCAATTCTATTTCTAGGTATTTATCCAAAAGAAATGAAGATATTCCACGTAAAGGTTTGCACACAAATGTTTTTAGAAGCTGTATCCATAATACACCAAAACATGAGAACAACATGGATATCACTAACTGTGATGGGTAAACAAATTGTATGAAACCCTACCAAGTCATAAGAAGGAATGGAATACTAATCATAACAACACGGATGAATCTCAGAACATCATGTTAAGCAAAAGCTGTCAGACACAAAAGAGTACATATGCATGATTCCATTTACATGAAACTTAGGAAAGACTATTCTAACATTTAGGAACAGAGCAGATCAATGGTTGTTTGCAGTGAATGTGCATATGGAAGATCGAATGGGAAGGAGCATAAAGAGAATTGTTCCAGGTGATGGAAATGTTCTGTAACTTGACTGCAGTGGTGGTGATGTGAGTACATACATGTGTCAAATTTTACAGAATTGTATAATTAAAATGCATACATTTTATTGTACAAAATTATATCTTAATAAAGTTGATTTAAATGAAAAAACTTGAGAGAGCCCAAGCATTTACATTTTTTCTCTCAAAATATTCCTTTTTGGATTTCCACAGGCAACTCCACAAATCAACTTAGTAGGTAAAACAGCTGAGTGACACTGGAACAAGCAAGTTATTACTCTGAACTGAGCAATTTTCCTCATCAGTAAAGGGAGTGAATTAGGTTAGATGATTTCATTTGTTCATTCAATAAGCATTTACTAAAGCCCACTATGGGCAAGCACTATGCCAGGTTCTAGAGATATAAAGCTGAAAAAGAAACCAGCTTTTCCCCTTAAGGAAACAGAATGAGTCTAGTGGAAAAGAAAGACAAGCTAACATATGATTAGGATACTGCTTATGTATAATTAAGATATGAGAAGAATTCATAAGAGAAGCAGTCTTCCCTGACGAGGCAAAACCTGAGCTGGGTTTTGAGGTACAAGTAAGAATTAGGTAGAGATGAGAAGGCATTCCAAGCAAAGAGTGCTATGTGGGCAAAGAGCCAGAGGTGAGAGAGACAGCATGTGTTTAAGGTCCTGCGGGTAGCTTAGTGGGTCTGGAACACAGAATTCATCCTTGTAAGGTCATGGGAGTGTCTTGACTGAAAAAAAGTTCTGAAAGATTCCTCTAGTTTAACCAGCATGCGGGTAGGAGTCCTGTACCAAATAGTGATACTCATGTTGTAGAGGATCTCCTAAAAGGTAAAATAACTACACTGTCAGTTAGGATCCTTTTTGTGGCAAAGATAATCTTTTGGCTCATGTAACAAAACAGTCCAGGGGTAGACTGGTAGAGTGTGACCTGGGAATTAACAAGGTCATCAGAGCAGCTTCTAACTCTCTGCATTCTTAGGCCACAGCAGCTCCAGATCTTATATCGTCTTTTTTTCATATCCAGTTTCCCTGAAAGGTTAAGAAAGCCTCATAATCAAGTTTCACTAATTTTGCACAACCTTAGACTTTGCACTGGATCCCTGTAGCCAGAGGGATGATACATAATGATGGTTTGGCCAGGACCCAGAAGCCCTGGAAGCGGGAGTCAGCCTCATCTAAAGTACATGGAGGAACAGGTAGATCTCCGGATAAAAATCAGAGTCTTTGGAGAAGGGAGACTGTATGTCCTGAGGAGGAACGAACAAATTCCAACAATTTTTAGAACAAGGCAAGGGGTACAAACACATGGTCAGATTTCTTCTTTCATCGTCCATTCCTAGGACTAGTCAATGAAAACTGACTTCAGGACAAAATGATGTGAGACAACATATATGCAAAAAACTATCACTACTCTAAGCACCGTATTACTAAATGAGAAAGTTTTATGAGAACAAAGAGAAGGGTGTAATTAATTACAGTTTATAGGCTCAAGGGTATCTTCACAACAGAGGAGAGTTTTTTTAGTGGGGCCTTGAAAAATGGAGGTCCACTGGCAAAGATAAAGCACGTGGCCATAGTTGGTTGAGAAGCAGCATGTAATCTGGTGAGGGTGAGGCACAGGATAACGGATCAGTGTAGGAACACAGGAATGGAAAGATCAGGCTGTGGTGAATTCCCCCCACTCTGCTACAGAGCCTGAACTTTATCCTTTAGGCAACAGGGTATTGTTTAATTTGTAAGCATGGAAGTGACACAATCGAACCTGTATTTAGAGAGCTGTAGGAACAGATTAGATACTTCTGAGACTGGGAAGAAGGAGATAAGCGTAGAGGAATAAAGCTAAGTTGTGAAGTGGAAGGCTGAGGGAGTTCAAGGTTAATGTTCTCTATTTCCTCAGTGAAATAGGTAGAGAGAGGAGGTGCTAAATGTAAGGGGGTACTATGCAGTTAAGACACTGGAAATTTCAACTAGCCAGAAGGTTGCATTACCAAAACATTCTGATCAAAAAGGTTATTCAATAAACTCTTCCATAATATAAGGTCACACATACTACCTTAATGTGCGAATTGAAATCCAGAAGAGCCAAATACAATCTATTAGGCTATTTCGCCCAAGTGAGAACGCCACAGGTAGGATAACAATGTAACTATCACGGGTTACTCAGATCCTTGTGATCACTGGCAGAGCCTGTGTGAGGCAGTGTCGGGGGCTGGTAGGAGATGGCGTGGGGGAATTCTGGAGGGAGGAGGCAAAGAGAAGTAGCAAGAGGAGCGCAACAAGAGACGGAGTGGGCCAGGCAAGCTGTCTTCCATGCAGTACTTCAACAAGCAGCCAGGAGCAGCACATGGCTGAGAGGGTATGTGTGGCAGCCTCTCAGGTTTGGCTTTTGAATTCAGATTCAGGACTACTGGCTAGAGCCACCCCTCCTAAATGAAAGGATCTGCTATGCCATGGTTCATTAAATTTTTTTTTCTTATAGATATAAGTTCTCAAACTATCAAATGAAGTCACACAAATACTAATGAAGTTGGGCACTCTTCACATATTATTTTCTACAACTTGACCTTAAAATGTTATCTGTAAAATCAATTATTGACAACCTCTTGTATTTGTTTGGTGCTTTGTAGTATTATAATGATAATAAAAAAATAACTTTCAAATATATTTTCTCATTTGGTTTTACTCAACCCTGACAGGTAAACAGAGCAAATATAAAACTTCTAGTTGCCTGTCCTGTCTCCCATATCCCACAGCCAAATTACAGATAAAAGAGATTAAATTATCTAGGGATTTAAAGCTAGGACAAGAACTCTCCAGTCGAATGTTTCTCCTAATAGATTACCACATTGCTATGTTTCAGTTTATGAATATTCTCCTAAAGAAAGAAACCAAAGGTAGGTGTATCTGTACACATTTGACCTTAATCATTCAGAACACTTCCTAACAGTCACAGGTGTGTGCTTGTCCTTGTGATGAAAGTGCATTTGTGGACACAGAATGGCAAAGCATGTGATCATAACCGTATTGCCTTCAAAAGCAATAAAGTGGAGCTTATTAAGAATCAATTACTGAATAAATGGTTGTTTCTTCTAGTCATTATTTAGTCCTCAAAAGTCAACAAGTTCCTGATGAATAAAAGCATTTATATAGAATTTCAAATAAATAACTAGTAGTTATATAAAATTCCACCACACTTGTAGTGTGCTAAACCTCATACATTTCCTAAAATATACTCTCTAAATGAAAGACTCAGGAAATAGATTTGGAAAAAACTTTATACAATTCTAGACATTTAGTAAGACTATCAATATATTGATTCAGAATTTTATTGAAATGATTAGGATTTTGAATTTGAGTATAAAATTGAAAGACATTGATTTTTGGACTTCTTCCCACAATCTATCATTCCATACTACAGAAATGCTAGGTTTTCAAAAAGTAATATAAAATAAGACCCTCCACTTGTAACAGGACCAAAATAAGATTGATGCCGTGCACAATGTCTTCAGTCTACTTCTGGTCTCTCTAAGCTGCTCTGCCCTAGAAGTAAATCTTGTGAGACCAAGCTTCAGCCAAAGCGCGCATGGTTTTGATTTTTCACTCCCTCTGCTGAGTCCTTGGGTGTGCCCTTTGGATACTTCCGAAGTAAAAGAATCTGGCAACACACCTCAGCAGTATCAAGTCTTCTAACCAAGAGATGGAGAGTTGAAGGGATCATTCCATAGTGTCTTTTTTTCAGAAAGTGATGACTAAAACAGTCAGTTGCAAACAACTGTATTTGACCTTCTCCAAGAGAGACCTTTAAGGGAGAAGTAAAACGGAGAGAGATCTAGAAGACCTCTGACGAGAGACAGGTTGTTAAAAACACCAAAGTACATTTGCATTCCTACTAAAAAGCATTATCTTTTTCAAGTCTTCTCACATCTTATCCCACCCCTGCTCTGAGTGAAGAGCAATTTATAAGACAAAATGATTCATTATCTAGAGATAAATTTACAAACTGACATAAGAGAATTCTCCCAGAGGCTACATTACCTATTCAAGTTTATTACAATATCTTTAGTTCTTATTGCATATATAGTTACATGCCTTTTACAAGTCAGGATTATCTATATAGTACGCTCGATTTAGCAGAAGTTATGTCTATTGCTTCTCTCTTGAAAATCAATAGCATGCAGTGCAATACATGGTGTGCAGAGTTACTGTTTCAAAAAGTGAAAAACTACTTAGGTTTAACTGAGAAGGGAACATGATCTTTATTGGCTTATATGCAAAGTTTAATTTTGGTTTTATGCAGAGTTTGCATAGTTCATGATTACTTTCTAATGAAAAACTAGATGTATTGTCAGTGACCTTGCAGAAGATCAGGTGACAGTAGCAAACAGAAAAATCTGAAGAAGAGGCATAACTTTTAAAGTAGAAAGGTCAGCAAGAACTGCCTGAAACAAAAAACAAAAGGAATGATTAGTATCGGCATCCTGATCAGCAAAGTGAAGCCTCTGAAATAAACACAGAAAAACCATTACAATGCACTTTTGACATCAACACACTCTGTTTCAGTTTGGTCCCAAATCTGAAGCTACAAACCTTCTTTCTCTTTTATGAACATCTTAATGTTAGAACGTGTGCAAAATGCTCAAATGTGCAGTAGAAAATAACCTGGACTTTAGCCTTTAGCCTTCCTCAAATATACAAGGTAGCATGAGTTTATAAGAGGTCTGACATTTCAACTTGCTTCTATAAATAAACATACATTATGAATCCTAGTCTTGTTATACTAGTGTAAGGAGTAACTGACTTTAGGAAATCATTTTAAGAAGGAATTAATGTTTATTCAGTTGCAAGATGCATAAACATCCTCTTCCCTTTAAACAAAGAATGTAGGCAGCTATTTTAAGGATAAAATTGCATTTCTATGAGAGATAACAAATAGAGTAATATTGTAAGTCATTACTGAATTGAACCATATTTCAGGTATAAATTATACTATTGAAAAGAAACCAGCCTTAATAATTAACTCACTAGTAAAAATAACCAAAAACCATGTATATTTACTGTATCAACCAAATGTATGCTCTTTAATTCTTCCAACTAGTGTGTCTTTGTTCTATGAGCATAACACATGGATGTGAACAATCATAAGAAAATGCAACACAAGCCTCAATAGTTTCTATCAAAATTACTAAGTATCTTGTTTCCCATAAAAGTTATAATGGTTTCTCATAATAACGTTGTTTATGACCCCTTCACAAGAACATTGTTTTCAAATAATTAAGGAATTCTGAATATTTAATATTACTGAGCTTAAAACTTATAGGCATTACTCAAGTTAAAAAATTAGGCTATGAGTAATGTGTGTCCTATGCATTGGAGACTGAAGTACCCAAGCCTGGCAATCTCTCAGCAACTATTTCCATCCCATCTCAGCGAAGCTTATCCTTACTTCAGCTGCAGCCAGTGATGTCACCTCCATCAGGTTCACTGCTCGGAAAGCAAACACAGCAGCTGCCAGGACTGGAAAAGAATGAACACTATTTTAACTGCTGGCCTACTCATCAGCCTGACAACTTTACTGCTATACCCAAAATCCACAATGAGAACTCAGACCTAGTGCTTAACACAACTGCATTCAGTTAAGGTCTGGTGAGGAATGGAAATTTTCTTCTCTGGAGATCAGTATCTGAGGGCAATTCATTTTCTTTGGAAAAAACGAAAATTTTAGTGGTCTTTAAAAAGCCATTTTATAAATTGTTTCTTTTGTACCTACGGCTTCAATTATAACAGCTTTTAAATGGTAGCTATAATGACTGCCTTATGAAGATTTATTGTGATGCAGGTGTTTCTTATTGATGCAACGGAAAGGCTTCTGAAAAGTTACATGTAGACTGAATTTTTAAATATATCAGATAATATTTCATACATATCAAGGTAGTATCTATATGAAAATGTGACAACAAGTATGTCTTTCCTTAAAAATGTTGTTATACTATTTTATTATTTATTGACTTTCCTAGAGTGTCATAAATGGGTATGTCTGTTGGGTGGGCTACTGTGGGGATTGATCCTGACATTTACATTAATGTTGGTTATAGGAAAACAGAAGGTGAAACTTTGAAAAAAAAAATAAACCAAATCATTATAGAATCTCTTGAAGGTCAATAATATATACTGAGTAGAAAACATCTAGATTTTTGTTCCCATTAGTCATATGCATATGAAAAGAGAGTAATGCTGATATGCATTATGTCTTATTATATAATCTACCATAAAACCTCATGAAAAGGAATGAGTCATCATGAACAATGGAAGGACTCATGTAAGAGCTTCTGGCAACTCTGATAAGGAAACGGTACTGCCCAGAGGTGACTTGACTTCTCCCTATGTTTTTCATCACCATAGTGCACAGTGCATTCCCTACCCAACAAGTCCTTGAAGTTTAGGAAATGAATGGTAAGGAATCTTTAAAATTATTTGGAAGACTGGTTCCTAAGTATATTGCATAGATAATGCAAATAATTGTTAAAATACATTTCTACTATGGAAATAATAATCATAAGAGCAGTTAATTCTCATATCAACTCTGTGTTTATTACTATTATTAGCCCCATTTTACTAATGTAGAAACTGAGGCACTGTGAGTTTAGATGACATATTCAGAGTCATACAGGTAGAAAATAATAGAGAGAAAACTCAACTCTGGTCCCAGAGCCCAAGCATTTAACCACTGTGTGATGAAATTTTTGAGACTGAAGGTAAGCAGTAATGACTCATCCCTGACATGGAAATCGATGTGTTTTCCTAACTGTCTTCTCTTCTGACCCTCACAATGGTTTTCCCTTGGGATAAACCATAATGGAGAAGAGATAAAAAAGAATGGATACATGTCACTTTGATAGCAGAAATTAACACAAAGCTGTAAATCAACATACTTCAATTTTAAAAAATAATGGTTTGCCAGAGATGGACTGAGGATGGTGCATGGTAATCAGCGCTCTGGACCACCTGGTAGGTGACTGTTCCTGGGGAGTAGATGTCAGAATCCAGGTTTGTTAATTTCCCCAGGTAAAGGCAGAGTGACTGGGAAGCACACGTAATTTTCGAGGGGACAACAGAGTTTGGAAAGCTTGCCAAAAAAGTATTAGAACTAGTTAGGAAAATTCTGGAGGAAAAAAGATGGTTGTGGTAAAATGAGTAGATTTATTTAAAAAGTCAAGTCAGCTAGAATTATTTAATATATAAAGATGGATATAAGAGATCTGGAACAAAGAATTTACCCTTTAACTGCGAATGGTGAAAACTTAAGTACTTTAAAGTCCTTGAGCTTCCATTTTTACAAGAATATCCAAGAAAACCATTTCTGTGGACCAGCAACTTCTTTATAGTTTTCTAAGATCTAGAATCATGTTTGACAATGGAGACATTTTATAAGCTAAGGGATGTAGTCACTATTTCCTTTTTTGTGTGTAATTTAATGGAGTTGGTGAAAGCTTGACAGGATGGTCAAATTTTCTGCTGTAGCAGGAAAGAGTTTTACATGCTGGGAAATAATTTTTCCAAAGGTAGATAAGAGGGAGAATAAAAGAGTAGTTACTAATTAACTTCAGCATCCAAAATGCTTATGTGCTCATAACCTTTATTTATCTTGGTGTCACATCACAGAAGTTCCTTTCTGTCTACTTCATGTTTGGTTTGCCCAGCCCTTCCACAGAGCAGGCTTATGTGCCAAGGAGAAAAGCTCTATACTTTGGGATATTTTCAACTGAATTCATGTTTTATATGAAATATAGAAACTCAAATACTTACTTTTGGTATTCTATATTGTTCTCATTAATTTTAAGCAACTCTATCATGAACATTAAGACACCCATACTTTAAACTGTTCTTCAAAAGACCCGAATAAGTTCACAGTTGAAACCAGTAATATTTACTAAAATATTTCTAAAGATTATATAAACTCATTTGAGCAAAAAAGTTGGTCTCAAAATATTCTATTCTAATATACTCAGATGAAAAAAATGTCTAAAATGATCAAAACTAACCCGTATACATGTGTGCACGCATGCTCAGTCATGTCTGACTCTTTGAGACCCCATGGAGTGCAGCCCACCAGGCTCCACTGTCCATGGAATTTTCCAGGCATCTACATGCAATTATTTGCCTTATGTCTCTTTATCTGAATTCCATGGAAGGATTTCCCATCAGTCTAATTGCATTTCTAGATGTTCTACAATTCTTCCCTGTTGGTTTTTTAAAAAACATTCTGAGAAAGTGAGATGTAACAGTGTGGATTGTCATTCTACCTATGAATCAATAACTTATTAACGTATTAAGCATGCAGCAGAGTGCCTGGCTTAGAGCAAATGCAGCATTCAACATTCATTCCTCTTTTACTTCAGTTTGCTGAGGGCATGATAAGTCACAGAAAGGGGGAATTTAAATTGGAAGAGGCTTTGAGGTCTTCTAGTTTAACATTTCTTTCACGATAGAAAATCTCTTAACCCTTCAGATGACAGTTAAAAAGCCCATTCTACTTTTTGAAAGTCCTATATTATTAGAAAGTACTTTCTAATACTTAGCCCATTTCTTTAACATGCTCTAATATCTTTTTGAAATGATACAAAAAGTTACATATTAATACAATGCTCTTCAAAATTTATGAACACCCAGAAGAATTATTTCCTGGAAAATCTTAAAATCCTGTCACCCAAGAAATGTTAGCAAAAAACAAGACTACTTAGCCTGGAAAATATAAGACTTTGGGGAAAGAAGGGGGTGAGAGAGTAGAAAAAACATGATGATTATCCTGGTGCAACAGTAGTACATTTTAACAAGTTATATTATCCAGAAATGAAATAGGCCACTTAGTAAGACAGGGATTACCCAACACTGAATGTTCAAACACAGGATAAGTATTACCTGCCAGAAATATTTAAAAGAAGCTATACCTGATGATCTCTAGGATTCCTTCTATCTCTAGATGGTATGTATCACAGCCATTCAGCCAAAAGAGGTGATGACAGACCATTTTTTTCCCCCTAACTCATACTTATATTGGCTTTAAAAACAATTGAGATGGAAGGATACTGGGAGTTATTAAAAACTTTGGTAAATGATCACTCTGATTACACCAGGGGCAACAGTTATTATCTTCATGGCACTTTATTATTATGCTAACTTTCCTTTCAAAAATACCACCTAATTACTCTAGACCTCTCAGCACTCAAAAATATGTTAATATGGTACCTAGAGAATCTTTTCCAGGAAGAGTCTTCAATTAAGCATTATTTCCAAGTGGTCAAAGAGGTGACTTTACAATGCTGTCACTGGGTAAAGAAATAAAGGCTCTCATAGCTTAAATAATTTGCTCATATCACACAACTGGAGAAGGCTGGAACCAGAACTCTGACAACTTTTCAGCTCTCCACCCGTGTGAAAACCCTGTCATATTTATTTGAATTCCCTGATAATCCTGGTGATAGAAACAATGGAATCTATTTTACATGCAGCGAAGCAAAATAACATAAGAAATCTGTGCCATATGTGTTATCATACAGTTGCCCTCTGTGTATGTCTGTTGTAAGAACTGCTTAATTATTAAATAAGAGATGAGTTTGTGACTTTCTGAAAAAATGTTGATTTTTTTTTTGACTTAAGAGGATAAGTAAAAGGGGAAACTTTTATGTATTACTCACGGACAGAGATTTCAACTATGCAGGGAGGCTCAGTCTCAGTTTGGCTTTTAGGTAGTGGCTGAGAAGGGGCACAGAACAGAACGAGAAGATAATCAGAGGAGTCAGGAGAAGAAGGAACGTGGACCGACATTCTGCTGCACAAACCTCATAGGTGCCGAGACTGGACAAACGCTCTGGCTGGACTAGAAGCAGGGGAGGGGAAATTGACATTCCTGGAAGCAATGAAGAAAGACTAGGAATAAACAGGTGATGGGCAGTTCCACAGGCGTATTTAGATTGCAGAACATCAGTCCTTGTCTTCTAAGGCAGATAAATCGACTAAATGTTCATGAATTAGAGATGACAGACAACTGTAGATTCCAATTCCAATTATAGATGGTAAATGTTAGAAAAAAAGAAGGGTTTTACTATAGAAACAACATGTGTTTTATGAACAAGCACTTACTCTTACCAGCAAGAATTTCCAGAGAGTTGTATCCTAGGATTCTGTCCCACAAAAGCAAGAGTTGATCTGTAGCCAAGTATCCAGAGAAAGCTCTAACCATCCATTTAAATGATATGCGAAGTCTATAAACAAAGAAACACAAGATATTTTACCAGTGGAAGTTTTTCTCATCAAAAAGCAATTATCAGAAGAGCTCAACGAGTTACAATGACAGTAACCCCTTTGTGGGTTTTAAAAATCACAGTCATTTAAAACTCAAGTACTCTACACATATACAATGGAATACTACTCAGCCTTAAAAAAGAAATAAAATAATGGCATTTGCAGCAACATTATTAGAGATTACTATACTAAGTGAATTAAGTCAGAAGAGAAAGACAAATACCATATGATATCACTTATATGTGGAATCTAAAATATGAATCTTAAATGAACTTATATACAAAACAGAAACAGACTCATAGATATAGAGAATAGACTTGTGGTTGCCAAGGCCAACAGGAGAAGGATGGATTGGAGCTCAGGATTAGCAGATGCAAACTATTATATATTGAATGTATAAACAACAAGGTCTCGCTGTATAGCAAAGGGAGCTATATTCAATATCCTGTGATGAACCATAATGGGAGAGAATATGAAAGAGAATATATATGTATAACTCAATCACTTTGCCATACAGTAGAAACTGCCACAAACATTGTAAATTAACTATACTTCAATAAAATAAATTTTTAAAAATTCAAGTACTCTATTAACAGCTGTAAAAATTCAGCTGAGAAACCTTGAGTTCCCAAATTAGTGCTCTCAAAAGTATTAAGAGAAAGAATTATATTCCCGAGCCCTACTTTATGTTGTAGTTCATTCTTTAGAAAACTCACTTCTACATTTTGTTTTTCAGGGTGTGTACTCATTAGCTATCAATGAGGTGATCTTATAGTCTTAAGAGTTCCAGACAAGCCAAGATTATTTGAATTTTTATTCAAGATACTTAAATGAATACTTATCAGTTCAGTTCAGCCGCTCAGTCATGTCTGACTCTTTGTGACCCCATGAATTGCAGCACGCCAGGCCTCCCTGTCCATTACCAACTCCCGGAGCTTACTCAAACTCATGCCCATCAACTTGGTGATGCCATCCAGCCATCTCATCCTCTGTCATCCCCTTCTCCTCCTGCCCCCAATCCCTCCCAGCTTCAGGGTCTTTTCCAATGAGTCAAATAAATACTTACAGCTGCATATTTTTCCAATTCAATAAACTATATTCCTAAATTTCACTCAATGGCTACTAAGGATACAAAAAAGACAAGGAAAAATAGTTTTAAAGCTGTAAGGGGCTTCCCAGGTGGTGCTAGTGGTAAAGAACCCACTTGCCAATGCAGGAGACATAAAGAGACATTGGTTTGATCCCTGGGTTGGGAAGATCCCCTGGAGAAGGAACTGGCAACCCACTGCAGTATTCTTGCCTGGAGAATCCCATGGACAGAGAAGCCTGGCGGGTTACAGTCCATGGGGTTGCAAAGAGTCAGAGATGACTGAAGCAACTTAGCAAAAGAAAAATAAAATAGAAAAGCTATAAGGGAACTTAGAATTCTGATTTCAACCCACTAGTTTTAAAAAGGAGGTCATCAGAACTCTGAAAGATCAACCAGAAAATTCAATTAATTCTATTTTGTGACAAAAAAAAGATCCTAAGAAGTATGAGATCCTGCTGTTTCTTTTTCTTTTTTTCTGAGATCCTACTGTTTCATAACGAGGTTATGTTACAATAATATTTTATCTCTAGAATCAGGAAACAAACCTGGTTTTGGTGCCTGAAGAGATAAAATACTCTCTCATATTTCTCTGCTATATATTAGCAATTAAATATCACTTGACTGCCCCCGAGAGGTTTTAGACAAATTCTTTGTTGAAACTGTCATAATATTATATAAATACCAGTACTTTTTCTTAAAAGAGAAAATGGGATCCAGAGATTGCCTTTGTTGATGTCATACTAATTTTCCTAAGATTGAAAAAGGACCCCCAAGTTTCAGAAATTCCTCAATATTATATAACTATTGCTCTAATATAACAAAGTACATGTAGGCAGTAGTATTATAAGTCAAGTCTCTTGGTTGGTTTTAGAATATTAGTTTATAGATGCCAAAAAACTTTTGGCCAGTGAATGTTTTAAATTTAAAAAGTTCACTAATTACCTGGCATGCCCTTAGAACTCCATGCTTCCACTACAGGGGACCTGGGTTCAATCCCTGGTCGGAGAACTAAGATCCCCCAAGGCATGCAGCGTGGCCCAAAACAAAACAAATTAACTTTTAAGTCTAAATTATTAACTTCAACTAGTTTCATTTTATGGATCTCTCATAGTGTCTTTTTAGACCAACAGTACCACATACCATGCCTCCCTGCTTCCTAGTATATCTAGCACAGAATCAGTTTCTTAACTACAATATTGTAAAGTAATTAGCCTCCAACTAATAAAAATAAATGAAAAAAAAAGAAATAAAGCTTATTGAGGTATAATTTATATACAATGGAATTTGCTTTTATTAATGTACAATTTTGAGTTTTGTTAAAACCAAATAGAAATTTTAGAACTAAAAAATACAAAAGCAATAACAACAACAAAGCAACCCTCACTGGATGAATCCAATAGCAAAATGGAAATAAATGATGAGCGAGCCAGTGAATTTAAGTATAAGTCAATAAACAGTGTCCAAATCTGAACTACATAATGAAAAGAATTGAAAATAAAATGAAAAGAGCTTTAGAAACCTGTGGGATAAGACCAAGAGTTTTAATATTTTCTTCCAGAAGAAAAGATGAATGTGAGCGGTACAGAAAAAAAATATTTGAAGAAATAATGGTTGAGGGAAAATGGATACATGTATATGTATGGCTGAGTCCCTTCGCTATTCACCTGAAACTACCACAACACTGTTAACTGGATATACCCTAATACAAAATAAAAAGTTAAAAGTTTGGGGAAAAAAAGGATGAAACCTAAAAAAGAAACAATGGTTGAAAACTTCCTAAATTTGACAAAAGAAATAACCCTCCAATTCAAGATGTTCAACAAACCCTGAACAGGATAAACCCAAGAAATCCATGTCCAGATATATCATAAACTGTTGAGAAACAAAGGCAAAGACCTTGATAGCAGTCAGAGAAAAACAATAATTGATATTATTCCTCCCTGAAATGTTTGGTTGAATTTGCCTGTGAAGCCCTCCAGGCCTGGAGTTAATTTGAAAATAGAACATGATACATTAAAGATGTATATTGTAAATCCTGCATAAAGTATTTTTTAATTAAGGCATGTACATTTTTTAGTGATAATGCTATGGGATTTCCCAGGCAAGAATACTAGAGTGTGTTGCCATTTCCTTCTCCAGGGGATCTTCCTGACCCAGGGGTCAAACCCATGTCTCCTACACTGCAGGCGAATTCTTCACCTGCTGAGCTGTCAGGGAAGCCCAAGGCACTGTCATAGCCTGAATGCCTGTGTACCTACCCCTACCCCAAATTCACTGAAACTACCTGCAGTGTGATAGTATTAGGAAAGAGATGTGGCCCTTGGAAGTCAATTAGCATTAGATAAAGTTATGAAATAGGTTCTCATGATTGGGATTAGTGACTTCATAAAGTCATATGACAGCGTGTTTTTCCTCTCTGCTCTCCATCACATGAGGATACAATGAGAAGTCAGCAGTCTGCAATCGAGAAGAAGGTCCTCTCTGGAACTCAACCAGGCTAGCAATTTGATCTTAGACTTCCAGTCTCCAGAACTGTGAGAAATAAATTTCTGTTGTTTATAAGCCATACAGTTTATAGTAATATGTTGTATCAGACTGAACTAAAACAGACATTATCAAAATGTATTTTTTAAAAGGTGTAAATAATAATACTGGAGATAAAAATGGAATAAAAAATATTCAAAAGTAGGCAGGAAAAGAGGAAAAAAAAGAATAAAGAGCACATGGAACAAACAAAAAAGTCTATCAAAATAGTAAATAGTATCAACTGTTATTATTTTAACCCAATATCAATTACATTAAATATAAATGGAATAAACACACCAATTAAAGATAAACTGCCACAATGAAAGACCTGAATATACTTTTGATAAGAAAGCCACCTGAAAAGTAGAGACATTGATAATCAATACACTAAAACTAGGACAGAAAAGAATACACTATACAAATTCTAATAAAAAGAAAGCTGGAATGGCTATATCCGACAAAGTTCAGTTGTGTCTAACTCTTTGCGACCCCATGGACTGTAGTCCATGGAATTCTCCAGGCCATAATCCTGGAGTGGGTAGCCTTTCCCTTCTCCAGGGGATCTTCCCAACCCAGGGATCAAACCCAGGTTTCCCACATTGCAGGAGGATTCTTTACCAGCTGAGCCACAAGGGAAGCCCGAGAATACTGAGGTCCAATATGAACCTGATGATGCCCCTATCTGGGCATCAATTCTCCTAAAAACAGTGTCAAATACATGAAATATATATATATATATATACATATATATAGCAATGTAGAAACAAAAAGACAAATTCACAGTTATAATTGGAGACGCTAACACTTCTTTCTCAATAATCAATAGAAATAGTAGAAAAAACTTGACTTTATTACCACTTATAGACATTCTGCTCAACGCTAGCAGAAAATTAATTCTTTTCAAGTATACATTAAAGATTCATCAAGGTAGCTCATATTCTGGGTCATAAAACAAACTACAACAACATTTAAAAGAACTAAAATCTTAAGAAGCATGTTGTCTAATTGTAACAGAATTAAAATAGAAATCAATAACAGAAAGATACCACATTTTTTCAAATACTGGGAAATTATTTAAACAATGTACTTTTATATAAACTATGGTCAAACAGGAAGTGACAGGAGAAATTAAGAAAGATTTTGACTAAATGAAAGTGGAAACATAAAATATCAAAATTTGTTGAGTGGAGGTAAAACAGTGCTTTGAGGGAAATTTATAATATTACTGTTGCTTATATTAGGAAAGAAATATCTGAAATCAATTCTCTAAATTCCATCTTAAGCAAGCAGAAAGATGAGCAAAACAAAGCAAAAACAAGCACCCAGAATTAAAAAAGAAATAAAAGAGGATAAATCAAAGAAACTGAAAATAGAAAATCAGAAAGTCAATGAAACCAAAACTGATTTTTTTCAAAGAATAAAATAAATAAGCCCTCTGACCAGAATAATCAAGAAACATAAGATACAAATATCAATCTCAGGAATGCGGCAGATAGTGTCACTCTGATTTTAAAGATAGTAAGAGACTAATTAAGAATAATTATGGAATATTGTGGATAATTTGTCCATACATATGATAACTTAAGATAAAATGCACAGAGTACTCAAGTAGAAGGAGATATCCTGAAAAGTCCTATATCTAGTAAAAAAATTAAATTCTAATTAAAACTTTCCAATAGCATTAATTTTAATTCACAGTACGAGTCTTTCAATAATTGATTTCTAGCCTGACAACTGAATTTTTTTACTTTCCTTTTGTTAGGTAGTTAGAATAGGGAAAAGCAGTGCAAAATGGCAGTGGCTAAAAGACAAGGAAGGGAAAAGCCCTCAAAAATAGAACAGAGGAAGGTCAAAGAAAGTTCCGAGGATTGGAGTGAGGACTTCAGGTAGACCAGCACTCCTGCCTGAGCCCAATCTGCAGGCCCAGGGGGAAGAAAAAACATATAAAAGGAGGAGCAAAGCGCTCTCTCTCTCTCCCACGTCCCTATGCTCCTTCTCTCTCTCTACCTGCTCCTCCACTCTCTCCTCTTCTTTGAGGATGGATTCTCCTGCTATCTTCTAAATAAAATAGAGCTGTAACCCTGATTTGTCTAAGAGCTATGACACCGTTTGTCCAAGGCCCAAGAGCTGTGATGGGTCAATAGCTTTAATGTCCGTCGCTCCCAATCATTGTTGTGAGGAGACAAGAACCGAGACGCATACACTCGCCTGGCACCTTTCATTAGAATTTTGATGTTTACCATAATTTATTGAAATACATTTGTTCCTCTTAATGATTAAAGTATATGAATAGACTAGGAAAATATCAGGATTTTAGTTATAACAATAAACTAAATGTCCAGTACAGAAAAGCATAGATATATACAAATATTCGTTTCACAATAATAAAAAATTAGGTCAGTTTACCACAAGAAAAAAGATACATGTGTAATATGATATTTCTGCCACAATTTTGTTTAATAATAGTAATTTTTAACAGAATTCTATTTTTTATTGGCCATAAAAGAAAGATTGTCAGGTATTATCAATAAATTATATGAGGTACACAGAGAGGAAGACAGTAACAAAACACTGGTAAATCATTTGGAAATTTCTGTTGCCATGAACATTGTTAACTGAAAAAGAGAAAAGAGAACCAGCAATAATGAGGTCCACAGGTACCTGACCTATTCACTGATAACTCATACTGAGATAAATAAACAAAAATTCAAGCTTTTGGAAGGAAAAATCACAGTGTACAACCATTAGCAGATAATTGATTTAGTTTTCATTTAATGAAAGATAGCAAACTTTAACTGATCTAGCTTTCAAAGTTGTCTTCTGATAAATCTGGCCCAAACTGACAATTTTAGTATTATCATATTTCTCAGGCAGCATTTGTTTCCACAGATTTTTACCTTAGTTTGGTCACCATCTTTCACTATGAACACGAATTAGTTCTCTGGTGATTCTTGTACCAAGCACAAAAATCCAAGCAAATAAGAATTTATCAGGATTTTGGTAAGCCTTCCAAGAATTTTTGGCACAATGTTGAGTTATAATTTACTACTTGATAATTATTGTTTTGGAGAAGAAAATGGCAACCCACTCCAGTATTCTTGCCTGGAGAATCCCAGGGACAGAGGAACCTATACACACAGGCTGCTTCTGTCAATTTCTCAGACTTTAAGAGTGAACTTTTTAACCTGCATATCATTAGGTCACTCCTTTACCCTACGTGTTAGATCCTAAAAGTTCGCTGGCACCTCATTGCGTTAAACCAACTACTCTGTACCTCTTTCTCGGAGAAGGCAATGGCAAGCCACTCCAGTACTCTTGCTTGGAAAATCCCATGGACAGAGGAGCCTGGTAGGCCGCAGTCCATGGGGTCGCACAGAGTCGGACACGACCGAAGCAACTTAGCAGCAGCAGCAAGTATTGTTTTATTGGGGAAAATGCTAATTTCTCTGAAAAAAGTCACTGCACCTTTGACGATTAAAAAGAGACTTCTGATGTCAATCTACTCTTCAATTAGGAGAGAAAAATACTCACGGTTGAGCCCCAATTTCTCGCAGATGATAAAAGAGTTGGGGGAGATAAGTTTGCAGAAGAGTTTCAAACAGCAGACAGAGGGACACAATACCCTGGATACAATAAGTTACAAGAGAAAAGCATAACTTAGTATTTAAAAATGAACTCTGCCATCAAATCACTCAAATAGAAATGATGAAAAGATGATCAATATCAGTATTGTTTAAGAGCCAAAGACAGGAAATGCACCAATGATCTCTAAAACATTAAAAATAAGTTTATCCCTAACTCACTCTTATAAATATGCAAAGGAGCCTCCTTTTTAACCACAAGAGGCTTCCTGCATAAGCTGGTATACAGTAATGTTCAGAATTCAAGAAAAACATCGTTTTCTAGAAAGCCTGCTACTCTGTAAGTCATACATTATCACTGAGGCTCAGCAAAATTAGTTTTTTCTGGATGCAGTCCAATTTCCAGGTATTTCTCTAGCGCTGTAGCCACACCCTTCACTTTCTTCCTCCATATGTTCCTTTCTTTCAGCTGCCTCACCCATCAGGGAAAATATTTCCTGCTTTTTTTACTCTTTCACTGAAAACCATCCCCAGGGAAAGACTGACTGCTTGAAATTTCTGTCAGGAAGCCATCACACAAGAATGTTTGATTACTGAGTATAGGGATGTTTTTTAAAAAAACTGAAATCTACTTTTTTTTAAAAGGGCATTGTAGAGTACAAAGCAGATGGGTTTTCAAGGGCATTAGTTACTTGACAACTCTGAATAAAGTCTTTCTTGCAGTTCAGCATTCCTCAGGGTTGTTCTTTGTAAGGAAGTTCTAATCCTCTTTTTGAGTTTCTGAGTTTCTAAAGAAGTAAGGCTGTCGTGGCTCTAAACAGTTCAGTCTGGCTGCAAGCCAGAAAAGGAGATGACCGCCTGTAAGCCTTTATTTCACTGAATAAAGAAAGGGCAGAGGCAGGGCTGTCCCAATCGGTCAGCAGGAAGAGGGCAGTTTAGGGTCAGCATGGAGGCACAGAAGGAACAGCCAGAGTTTTAAAAATGGAAAAAATTTTTTTTAAAGTCTGATGTGTGAAAATAAAACATGAGAATAAGAAATCTTATGCTAAGTATGACTTATTAGCAAAGAGAATTATTAATATATTTTTGGTTATTCTAGATTAAACATTACTGCAATACAGACACTAAATCAAGTTATCTCAGAGAGAAGAGACCCATGAGAATTTTGTAGCACTTCATTTGCTCATCTGTGACATCCTGGATTTCTGTTATTTGCCAGCTTTCATCAGCAATGTTTGAGAGCAACACTAGAGACAGAGGAAGGTTGACTGGGAACACACAGGATTAAAATGGGGAGGAGGTATGATGAACTGCTATTTAGTCCAGTAGCAGTGTGACAATCTTCTCTTTCAGAAAACTTAATAGCTCTGACACATTCCAATTTTAATGTTTCTTTGGGAGTGTCAGTCAAGTTACTCACAAGCAGACCAAAGTGGGCCCAAAGACAGAAAAAGTATAACTGAAATAAATACTTGTTTTTACTCAGGTTAAGGGGGGTAGGAGTGGGGAGGGAAGATACAATAAAGGACTGGCCAAAATAAGACAGATACGAATATTCAATTCCCAATATGTTTCTTCTTGAATTTCTTAAGGCCAAGGAGTCATCTATTGAATAAACACAAAGAAAATATCTAGTTTGATAAAGGATAATTAGTCAAACATGATATTGAAAAATAAGGGACAAATACATGTTTAATTTTCATTGACAAAGATGATGATGATGATCATAATGACAATAAAAACAACAGCCATCTATTTACTGAACACTTGCCACGAGCCAAGTACTACCCAAGGGCTTCATACTCTTCTTTACAGCACCACAGAAACTCAGCATTAACCTCATTTCAGAGATGAGGAAACCAAAGTTCAAAAAAAGTAGCCATCTTTGTCAAAGAAAACAATACAAACATTGCTATGTTTATTCTTTCAACATATAAAAGATAATTTTTAAATGCAAGTGATAAAGGACTTTTTCTTATCATTATTACTAAAACTATTTAAGTATCAATTTATTCTTTCCTTTTTTCCATAGGAAAGTGATGCTTCACAATTTGTTTTTCTTAAGGTAAAAAAGAACAAATTAGAGTCTGGTTTGATCCAATTTTTATGAACTTACAGAAGGATGAGAAGAGATGGAATGAAGCCTGAAGAAAAAACGCACATACATCTCACGGAATATCTGATACAGTTTGGAAGGTTCATGGTATAGAAAACAAAGTGGTGCAACTGAAAGAACAAAAAATTAATTGATAATATTGCAGAACTACTATAATTGAAAAAATAAGTTCACAAAACATAAAGAATAAATATTTCATAGTAATGATATTCATTCAAGTTTAAAATCATATACATTCTTTTTTCATGTTGAAAAGGGAATATATGCATATGTAAAAACTGTCATTAAATTTTTTTTTAAATGGAGTAAATTATAAAATGTTTTATAATCCCAACAGTAGAATAACACAATGGAACCATATAAGGGTATCAAAAATTCAAAGTAACTTTTAAAAATTACATAAAATCTCTCTCTTTTTAAATTGAAGTAATAAGAAAGTGACATCCAGGCAATTCATTTTTACTTTGTCCCACAAAGCATCTTTCAAAATTTTTAATTTTTGACATCAGGTAAGTAAAATATAAAATGATTTATGACTAGCTTTTAGAAAGTTGGTCTTCAACTGATGGAATTTGAAAACTAAAATTCTGATTAACAGGCTATTGGTCAACATTGGCATATCCCAATATGTTTCTAGACAGTTTTCACAGGCTTAAAGTAAAACAACTCTAAGAGTGTATTTCTCTAGTGAATTTTTTGTGTGTTTGTGATAACAATCTCTGTTTCTCTAACGAATTTGAATTAAGTTTTCTTTTGCACTGTTTGTGGCAATTAAGCACAGGTGGGTCAGCTCAACCAGCGAGTCCACAGCTGAATGTCAGAAAGTCAGATTTTAAAATCAGATGCCAACCTGACAATATGATTATTTCATCTGTGAATAGGCAGGAGTCAGTGATGTATTTTGTACCCTGAGAATTGTTAGAAAGTTTAAACTTCCTGACATCATTAACTGTTCTCTAAATCGCTCAAGTACACCTTTTAAAAACTATTTACTTGAAAAATGCTTGCAGTTGGGATTATTAAAATAAAAGGATTAAAGGGCTTACATTTTATTATTAGAGGTAAAAATTTATATTCTTAACCTTGCTAGGTTTTCTATTTTAAATTCCTCACATATTTATAAAAGAGAAATATGCTAGAACCTCACTATAATAATATGTATTATGTTATGAAATTTTGGCAGCTCAAGAGAATAAAGCCAAGGGAAGCATAATGCAAAATTCCTAGACACTCTGAATCCTTTTCATTGTATGCTGGTTTTAAAAGTTTTATATTTTGTCATTCACCATGATGGTCTGATGCTGAACACTCAAGGGTTTTTTTGTTTTGGTTTTTTTTTTACATAGAAAAGTGTTAATTTATTGCTGATTCTTTTTACAAAGGTAAACTTTATATTTGTTTAGTATAAAGGTTGGGGAGGAGGAATAGTTGGGACAAGAATCTTCAACAAGTTCATATGTAATGCAGATAAATGAAAAATTAAATGGCATTAAGGCAGATAGCGTTCTCCTTCTTGCTTATCTCCGTGACGCTTCCTGCATTCCTCATTCAAAGACACGTGAGACAAAAGGTGCTCAGGGCTCTCAGACCTGCACACGTGTTTGTCGTGTGTGCTTCAGGATGACCGCAGGCTTCAGTGTGACTGTTGCTCTGCATACCAGCCAGTCTGAAGAAATCATGAGCTCACTCGGTGTTGTCCTTCCCTTTGCATTTTTTCTGATCCAGTATTTTTTAAAAAGACTTACGGGAATTTAAGAATTTTTACAGCTATTAAGACTAAATATCAGTCTGTATTTCTAATTTCCAGTGAATTAGAAAATGGTAAACCATAGAACCATTTTCATGGTATGTTTAATTTCACAAGCAATCATCATCTCAGCAAAATCTTAATTGGACATATAAACAAATACCAAACCCAGTGTTTAAAAGTTCACAATAACACTGTTGAGTGTGTGGGTGATGCAATATAAAGGGTGAGGTTCATGTTCAAATTTTCTAAAGTGTAATAGAAACAGTGAGTATTTAAAAGCCTAACTTACCATACATTGAAAATCCATGAAAAGGGATTACACCTAAAAAAAAAAAGTATTTCTTTTCAATTAGTATACCCACTGAATTATTTATTAGGTAAACTTTAGGGGATTAAAACCAAAAATAGAGAGCTTTCCTAGTTTTGCTTCAACTTTGTTCCTGAATGTCAGAAAGACTTAGTGGTGGTAACCAACAAAATGATGTGCTTTTTAATAGCTTTAGAGAAGCAATCAAGAGGTTTTCAATACATATCCAGTTAACTTTTTATTGATAAAGCTGAAAATTAAGACTATGAATATATGTGTTACAAAAACAGAACAAGGCAGATCACAGAACCAAGTTTAAGAACTAACTAATGGTCTCAGAAAGTCAATAGATTAAGTCCTTGAAACAACTTCAACCTGTATATTAGATTTAATTTGTTAAAAGATAAGTGAGCATTTCAAGGTACCTCTTGAATAGATATATTCCCTTTAAACTTACCAAAAGTTACATCATAGGATGTAATCTGGAAAAAAACATTGGTAGGAATGTGGTACAAATTCAGTGTAATCTTTGGCAAGGATTATAAAAAAGAACACATCCGTTTAAAATAATACTTGAAGCCTGACTTGGTGTGCTAAACATCTTGTCACATTCTAAGTGAAAAATTAGAACTTGGACAGCTTAAGTTCAAAACAGAAGTTCTATAATATACACACCACCATATATCTAACACAGTACTAGATCAGGCTGCAAACACATAAGAAAAATAAGTTTACTATTTTGAAAAATAGTACGGAAATGCTTTATTCATCTGACATTTTCAGAGGCAAGAACATGGTCTTGGCAGAGCCTTGTGAGGTCATCTAGAGTAAGTTCTAACAAATGACTGTCCAGTCTCAATCTGAAACACATTCAGCAATAGGAGACACATTAATTCCCAGTGAAACCAGTTAAAATTTTGAACAGTTTTAATTTAGGGGGCGTTACTTCTCATACAGAGTCAAACTCTGGCTCCGAGTAATCCCCACTTACTACTCCTAGTTCTGACCATAAAGGTCACATGGAACAAGCCTAACTTACCTTCTATGAAAACTTTCAGAAACATTGGAGGACACTGACTGTTCTTTCCCCCACTCCCAACATCATCACTACCAGGTTGGGCTTTCGGTGCGTGTTTTTTGTTTTTCTTGTTGTTGTTCTGAGACTTTATGAGTTCCTTTAACAGTTCCCCGGGTGAAGTAGTCCTGAATAATTTCTCTATTCTATTCTCTTCTGGACAAACTATAGTTCACCACAGTCAAAGTGAGGTGACGAAAGCCTTCAAGCATTTTTCTTCCCTACACACCCCAGAGCTAAAGCATAGCACACTTGTGCAGTTGTTTCCGACATAAGTAAAGGGCTGTATTCTTATATCTATTATATTTCCTCTTTGGTGAACCGTTCTGATTTGAGACAATCCTGGATCCTCATCCTGTTATCTAACGTATTCCCTCTTCTTCCTGGGTGTGCACTGCTGGAAAGTTTGATAAATGCACCATCTATGTCCTCATCTAGAGCATCAAAAAATGCTGAACAAGACAGAGGACAGGATTTGTCACTAGAGACCTTCTTCCACACTGACAGTAATCCACTCATCAACATCCTACTGAGGCACGTTAAGAGCACAGACCAGGTATCAGACAGACTTGGTTGGGTTCATACAGCTCCATCATTTAAGAACCTTGTGAGCCTCATTTCTTAACCCCCCTAATTCTCAATTTCCTCATCTTGTAAATCAGAGATAATACCAGAACTACATAAATGACTAAATGAGAGATGATGACTACAGCTTGGGCTTCCTAGGTGGCTCAGCGGGTAAAGAATCCACCTGCAATGCAGGAGATACAGGAGATGAGGTTTCGATCCCCAGGTTGGAAAGATCCCCCGGAGAAGTGCATGGCAACCCACTCCAGTATTTTTGTCTGGAGAGTTCTCATGGACAGAGGAGCCTGGTGGGCTACAGTTCATGGGGTCGCAAAGTGTCGGACACGACTGAAGCGACTGAGTACACATGCATATACAACTATAGCTTAGCCATTCATAAATAAAGGCAATTATTGATATTATTATTCACAAATTAAATCATATTTCTATGATGATTTAGAAGTAATTTTATCAAAAAAGAGTATGAGGAAAACAAAATATTATTCTGAACTAGTATGCCAGGCCAACCACCTTTAAAATTTTGTGCAGCATCACTCAAACTTCGTAAGCTATAATCCTCAGGATCTACCTTTTCCCATTTTCCCCTTGTCTTCCAGAACACAACACAGATTCATGTTGTTCAACTCTGTCTGAATCCCACCATGTTTATCATTTTCCTTATTTATCTCTATGTGATTAGCTGCCCTGTTCTCTCAGAACTGTCCTACCCTTCAAGTGCTTCACACCCAACTGCAGAATTCACTTCCCCCCACGCTGAGGCTGATGCCACTGAAATAAATTCTCTTGCTTGTCTGTTCTTTACCTCAAAGGCTTTGCACACATTTCATCTTTTTTCTCATTTCCCTTTAGGGAGTCTTCAGAGGGAGACGTCTCCTTTCCCTTCTTCAGAGCTACCGTTTCAGAAGCTACCAGAGCTTCACCTTTGTTCTTAACCCTGTTTCCTTCACTTCTTCTCACAGAAGTTAAGGTCAGATCTGTGGCTTGTGTATGTGTGGTCTGTGAGCTAAGAATGGATTTTACATTTTTGAAAGATTATTTCAGAAAACAATAAGGAGTATTAAGAAGTAGAGACTGTTTGTAGCCAGCAAAATTTTAAATATTTACTATTCGGCCTTTTACAGGAAAAGTTTGCCAACCTCTGCTTTGGAATTCTGTCCCACCGATTTTCCTCCCCCCTCTTTTATGTTCATCATTTAACAAATACGTACTGAGTTTCTACTATGTGCCTGACACTGCTCTGAGATCTGGAGCTTACTTTTTACCAAGGACAGGGAAGTTATGATGAAATACAAGCACGTATGTCAGACAGTGATTAGAGCCATGAAGAGGAATAATGGAGGCAAGGCGGGCGGAGAGGACATGGCCAGGGGAGGGAGGCGGTCGTAAGAGGCCCTGAAGCTCTGGAGGTGAGAGTCACGTGGTAAGGGGCGACCTGCAGGCCCGGGGCTTCGTGTGGTGATCGCCATGAACCGGGATAAGTTTCCTGAGGTGGATGGCCTGAAGGCAGAGAGTGGCGGCATCGGCTCTCTCCTACTAGTGGAGGAGCAGAGGAGAGGGGTGGCTAGGTCTTATGGAAGTACTCCTCTCTCCAGCCTCTATTTTCACTGCCACTTTCAGCCAAAGACATTATAAACACCTTCACTAATAACAAGAAGAGGAGGAGGAGGACTTGTCCAGTTTTTTCCTGGACCTTACTTCCTGTCAAACAAATGTCTAATCTCTCTCCTCTTGAAGTCAAGCTTCATTCTAAAAACATGATCTGAATTAACTTCCCTTACTTCCTCATCATGTAGCCCCAACTCCTTATAATCTGGTTTCCACTCCTCTCAGCCCAACTCCTGACTGCTAACGTCTCCTCTGTGTGTCCTGGCCCCCAGCAGCTGAAAGTCCCTTCTCCAGATTGAGCCCGCCAGGCCCCGTGCAGATCAGGCTCCCTGCCTCAGAAGCTTCTGCTGCTCAGGTTTTGGTTTTGCTCTGTTGTCTTTTGGGCTAGTTCTCTCTACTGCACAGCTCTTAAATACGGCTACTTCCCAAGACTCTGCCATACTTGTCTTCCCTTTCCTTCCACTAGCATTCTCCTTATTAACCCGTAATTCAAACAGTAAAAGCCCAGTTTCCTGAGCCTCCTTCTGGACTGTCTAGTTCTGCAAACAACTCCTTGCCTCCCTAGGTGTCAAGGAGGAAAGCTTTGCTTTCCAGTCCTCCCTCAGCCCTTATACCTAAATGTGACTGTGTCCCTTTCTTGTCGCTTTATGATAAAGAAGGCTTAACTCTTCAGGATTTGGCCACTGTCTAACACAGCTTCATTTTTCTTCCCTATGAGCACAATTCGAATCCTGCCAAACTGACTGCCAGCCTTTCAGCTTCTGGACCTCAGGAAAAGGGCTGTAGATGCTCCTCTACACTTGCGGCCACGTCCAGCCCCACCCCTTAGAGATTTTAAACAATACTCCTAGAAAGGTCCCCCGACAGACCCCTACTTTCCATCCCCAATCACTCACTAATCGGTACTCTCTTATCGGCTGACTTGCCCTGACTGACTGAGGCGCCCCTTCTCCTCTCTGCACCTAGACAACCCTGCACAGTTCTGGCTCCACTTCCTACCTGTGTATACTCAGGTTGCTTATTTCTCCTTTTTCCTCATCCAGTACTGTTCTTAGACCAAGGCAGGGAGACTTGGAGTAAGAGGCCTGTTATGGCCCTCCTCTGACTATACCCCTCACCCAGAATCCATGTCCCTCCTTTCAGACCAAAACTCAGGTACCCAAGACTCTTGAAATCCCCAGCCCAAAGGCCCGCAGCCAGCTTCCAGGGTCTCCACAGCCTCTTCAGTGGAGCTACTCTTCTGATGGATGCTGTCTTCAGGATGGAGAAGTGGTCAAAGAGTGAACTATTTGTGGAGGATGTGAACAGAGCTTGGACTTGTCTGTCCAGGTATGGGATACAGCCACGGTAAGAAGTGGGTGGGAGATACCACAAGCTAGGGACTTCTGAGGAGTCTTAAGAATTCTGAATCTGAAACTCACCTCCCAGATTGTTATAAAGGTATATTTTTCAAGACAAGAAAGCCAAGTAGAAAATACTAAGCAGTTTATTAGCTTGACTTATAACTTCTGAAAATCTAGACTTACAGTAGGTGGGCTTCCTATTGTACTGGGCTTCCCTGATAGCTCAGTTGGTAAAGAATCCTCCTGCAATGCAGGAGACCCTGATTCAATTCCTGGGTCAGAAGATCCACTGGAGAAGGGATAGGCTACCCACTCCAGTATTCTTGGGCTTCCCTTGTGGCTCAGCTGGTAAAGAATCCGCCTGCAATGCAGGAGACCTCGGTTTGATCCCTGTGTTGGGAAGA